GGCCCCCCTTTGGCGAAGAGGCAGCAGCTTCGGCACGCGCACCCACTTTTACTGAAAAGCAGAAACTTGCAGCTCCGCCTTCCGAGGGCCCCCAATTTTATTCCAAGGCATCAGCGTTCCTGCGCTGCAGCTGAGATGCATCCGCAAAAGCGGGTGCCTGGAATAAAATGTGTCAGAAAAGAGGCTACCGGACTCCTGATCTGGGGCGACTAACTCTAGACTAACCCAGTTCTCCTCCTGCAGTGTTGGAAATACAGCGTCTTCAGGAGGTTAGCATCTGACTTCAGGGGGTCTTAAGGACCGGAGGTGGATGGGGCACTATCTGGTTATCATCCAGCCTGTCTTCACCATGAAAGATAACTGCCCATGTGCAGAGAGCCTTCCCAGCATCCTTCAAATGAGACAGAAATCATAGCCTAGGTGTTTGATTTATTAGGGTATAGCCCAGCATTGGAGCCTCATCTGAGATACAATTCTATCTTTTTTCTGATCACTTTTCCTGGAAGCCTGATTGTAAGACTCGGGGTGCCCAAAGCAAAGGATCTTTAGCAAGATTTCCAAGAATGGGATGAGCAGGTACTCCTCGTGCCTCGTTTAGCGGCCGTTTGCAGTTATGACAGGGATGGTCAAGTCACTTTGCGACCAGTCCTCGCATTGACGACCTTTGCAGGTCTGTAAAGCAAAGGAAACCTGAAGGAAGCATCATAAGATTGTTTCACTCTGTGACTGCTTCGCTTAACACCCAAGTTGCTGGTCCCAATTGTGGTCCCTCAGTGAGGATGACCTTCCACTTGGAGAGATGGCAGTAAGCTTCTGAAATCTGACCCTGAAACGCAACTCCCCCAAAGACCCCAGAAGCAACTCTGACCGGAGTTGAATTGAATGGAGGCTCTCTGGCCAAGGCCAACGGAAGTCCAGTACTGGGGAGGAGCGTCCATGCCCAAATTAGGACGTAGTGAGGGACCCCGTCCGTCTTTTCTGGCTTCAGGCGTTCCCAAACCTTCGTTGATTGGTTTCCTGGAGGACAGATCTGTTCCATTATTCATCGACCCTCCAGAGGTGGGACTCCATTCACTTCATGCAGCCAAGGAATGTGGATTTCTTCAGACGACTCAAAGGTCGCCCATGTGGGTGGGTTTCAGATCTCAGCCAGACTCAGGCTGGGCTCCCAAAGATGGTCCTAAGCCTGTGGGGATGAAGGGGCGTTTCTTCTATGGCAGGAATCAAAGATGGCTGATGCTCCTGGACCTTTTCTTAAAGGTTTGATGGCGTACGCTTGGGCCGAGAAGATGCCTCTGATAAAGGGGAGGCCTCACCCCACTAAATCATGCCTATAAAGCAGGGCTTCTCAACCTTGGCCACTTGACGACGCGT